CTGGATCACGTTGTCTGGCTGACTGCTGGATCACGTTGTCTGACTGACCGACTGCTGGATCACGTTGCCAAACTGACTGCTGGATCACGTTGTCTGACTGACCGACTGCTGGATCACGTTGTCTGACTGAATGCTGGATCACGTTGTCTGACTGAATGCTGGATCACGTTGTCTAACTGACCGACTGCTGGATCACGTTGTCTGCTGGATCACGTTGTCTGACTGACTGCTGGATCACGTTGTCTGCTGGATCACGTTGTCTGACTGACTGCTGGATCACGTTGTCTGACTGACCGACTGCTGGATCACGTTGTCTGCTGGATCACGTTGTCTGACTGACTGCTGGATCACGTTGTCTGACTGACTGACTGCTGGATCACGTTGTCTGACTGACTGACTGCTGGATCACGTTGTCAAACTGATTGCTGGATCACGTTGTCTGACTGACTGCCGGATCACGTTGTCTGCTGGATCACGTTGTCTGACTTACTGCTGGATCACGCTGTCTGACTGACCGACTGCTGGATCACGTTTTCAAACGGACTGCTGGATCACGTTGTCAAACTGACTGCTGGATCACGTTGTCAAACTGACTGCTGGATCACGTTGTCTGACTGACTGCTGGATGACGCGAATATCCCAATACAAAGTGTGCCAGGACAGTTTATCCTACGACAAAATATTTTCTCTTGATTTGTCTGCGAACCGTTCAAAACATTATATCATTATACGCATTCGTTACAAATACAGTTTAGAACACGGGTTCCCAACCTGGGGGTCGCGACCCCCCTGGGGGTCTCGAAGGTCTTTCTGGGGGGTCGCCAACTGGTATACTAAACCTTAGTAATTTGAAACAAAACATAAATATTTAGAAGAATTTTTGAAATTCGGCTTCATTAACATCACTGGAAATGTAATAGAGAAGAAACAAAGTGCACTGTACAAAGTTGTTCTCAGACACGAATCTATGAAAACTTCAAAACTAAAACGTCATTTGAGACGAGTCATTCGGAACACCAAAAAATATATGGAGTTCTTTCGTCGGTTAGAAGCTAGTTGCAAACGCCAGAGACTTGATCGAACAGGAAGTTTTCACCAGCATTAGTGCAAGCATCAAATGAAGTCGCGATAGAAAAATAAACAAAAAGAGAAAATCTCATCAAACGCTGCATGTACGTAAATGTTAAATAACACATTTTTTTAAAAATTAAGCTTTGACCATTGTTTGCTTTTCAAGTTGATAAATCAACATACGTGAGTTCGTGTTTGCTGGTCTATGTCTATATTCATGCGGATGATCGCAAAGAAGAGTTGCTCTTTTGTGAAGATAGCATGGAGAAAATAAATACCTTTTTTGAAACTGGATGATTAAAATGGGTTAGAACGGCTGTTGGGGTTAGTACGGATGGTGCGCCATCTATGTTTAGCTCAAAATCGGGCTTTCAGAAAACAAAAGATTTAGCTCCCTAACCACTGCCCTAACCAATTGACATCAAGAGTCCATTGCTAGTAAAAGTCGTAAATTATCTAAAATCTGGAGCCTTCAAAGAACTGAGCAAAAACATTATTATAGATCACGAGGTTCTGCTATTCTACACTATAGTACGCTGGCTGTCAAACGAAATGTTGTAAATTGTATTTTTGAATTGAAATCTGAAATCAAATTATTCTTGGAAGTGCAAAGGAAACAAGACTTTTTGGTATACTTAAAACGACATAGAGTGGTTGGAGATAGTATCATACCTAGCAGATGTGTTCGAGCATCAAGATAAGCTTAACCTGAAGCTTCAGGGAAAATGAACGAATATTATAACTTTCCATGATAATCTCGGGACATTTTTATCAAAGCTGCAAAATCGGTAAAGAAAATAAATCTTGGAAATATTGTAAAATTGAGAAACTCTGCGGTGCGGTATGTGAATCTGATTGTGAGATAATTAAAATTTTGAAAGAAGCAATATCTGGGCATCTTGAATCTCTTGAAAACGAACTGCATCGCTATTTCTCTGAGCTGAAAAAAGAAGAATCTGCATTTACGCATTACCCATTCTCTTCTTCCCTTGATGTTGCCAGCATTCCCGATGAATTACAAGATGAATTCTTTGATTTGCAGAATGATTCCGAGTAAGATGAAAAACTTCAGACACAATTTTGGTGTAGTATTAACCATTTATATCCATACGTAAAATTGATTGACTTTTCGATTAAAAACAAAATTACGATAATGATAATGACATAGGTTGGCGTTAACAAAAAAAAAAATACTTAAAAAAAAATTAACCGCGAATGTTTAGTGAATAGTATGCAATTTTACTCATGGTATTAAGCAGTTACCTAGAGTAGTTATAATTTAAAAGTCAACTAGAAAATCTTATTTTAGTGTTTATTAATTTCCATACTAATTTCGGCTTTTTAATTCTATGGGGTTCGCGGGTCACTTAATTTTTATAAAAGGGGGTCGCCACTCGAAAAAGGTTGGGAACCACTGGTTTAGAAGGATAGGGCGACAGCTACAGCTGAGTTGAAATAAGCAAATCAATTTAAAAAAACAAGTGGAAGAATAGCTTTTGTGTTTCTATGATTTTAGTATGTGCAGGGATAGTCAGCACCGTACCAAGCCGTCTCTACTTCCAGGTACCCATTCGAGCTGAGTGGACTCAGGGGCCTGCCACAGAGTCTATCACGTGGTATTTAAGGGTAAACAAAATCATTTTAGTTAGGAGCTTCTCATCTGTTAATTAAAGCGGAAGTCACTGTTGATTAATGAACGTGTTACGACCACACGTACACGCACACAAACACACACACACATCAACAACAAAGCAAACAACTACAACACAAGGCAGAAAGTTGTTATGATGTTTATTATGGATTCCATGTGTATACTCGTGGCTTCGGAAACATTCTTGGTGTACACATGACATTTTGACGTCACGCCACGCGTTTGAAGTAGACATAACCTATCACAATCAGGTGGATGAACCCGATCGGATTGGTGGTTAAAAATAGAATGACCATAGTGATACCGTCCACAATGGTTAGGATGTAGAGGTAAAAATAGTAGCAGGAAAAAGCCAAAATCGGGAAGATCAGCTTCATAAAGATCATGGGGAACATCAGAATAAGGGTAACCGCCATGAAGATTTGAAACACTCGGAACAGGAACTGGCTTAGTGGCGTTTCTTTTTTGTCTACTTGCACGGACGTCGGTGCTTTTGTTTTCCTGGCTGGCATTTTGTACACGGTGATGTACAGCAGCAGGTGGGTGAGATTTACAGGAGCAGGTTGTCGAGATTTACAGGAGCAGGTGGGTGAGATTTACAGGAGCTGGTTGGTGAAGTTGTGCGTACAGGAGCAGGTTGCTAATTTTCACGAACAAGCTAGCGACTTGCTAATTTTCACGAACAAGCTAGCGACTTGCTAATTTTCACGAACAAGCTAGCGACTTGCTAATTTTCACGAACAAGCTAGCGACTTGCTAATTTTCACGAACAAGCTAGCGACTTGCTAATTTTCACGAACAAGCTAGCGATTTGCTAATTTTCACGAACAAGCTAGCAAGGTGCTGATGTACAAGAACAAGCTATCGAGGCGTTGTTTGCCAGAAAATTGACGTTAAATGAACCTAAATATGTGAGAAGGCCTAGGTGACTTGTCGAATCTCCATCTCTACCGAATGCCACTCTACATCATGATGAGAGCCAGACTAGCGAGGCTAGTAACGGCGGTCTTCACGTCTACTAGCTTTCCGTTATAGAAAAATCAATCCTGTTAGGGCTTTGGTCTTTGTTCTAAATTTTTAAGATAACTTTTTAAAAATGTACAGTTTTTAATCGACCATTTTGTGTTGTTTTCATTATAAAAGAGTAAAAAAATTAAAACCCACAACTTTTTTTTAAAAGAACAAATAATTCATATTATTAATTTTTTTTTGTGTACTTTAAGTAGAGGAATGGAATAAACGCAGTCAACCTTAGCTCCAAGCTTAAAAAGAAAAAAAAAAGAAAACGTTAATCTTTTGAATTTGTATTTGTTATGTGTTAACAGACCGATTAGTTTTCTAATATTTTACCGGCTATGTAGACCCATAGCTTTTAATAATATGTCAAGTATTAGCCTAAACCTACATAATAAAAGAGCTAGCAAACCACTTCCGTCTTATTTTTTCTTCGTAAACAAAACAAAGCAATTAACAGTAGCAGATAAAGTTTTTTTTTTTAAAGATTACACTCCGGTTGCTAATATAAAAGTAGCTTAACTTTTACTGCATCTGATCCGCTACAGATATAACATTTTAGTTCATATTAGAAAATACCTGTCTTGACCCCGTTAGATTAAACTTTAGATATCTGACACATAAGACCACTAGAACTCAGGTGATTCGTGCCGGTACATCAACTTTGACATCATGATTAACGGAAGAATGAATGGGAACATCCATTTCAATACACCCTCTACTACAATCACAGAATCGCGCAGCATTCTCTCGATAAATCGCAGGATCAGCCTGCTCGAGAACGAGGGCTCCCTCCAGAGTCTGTTGATCTACATGGTGGTCTCGTTCTTTGGTGCCGCTGTCTTCTCTGGCCTGTTTCTGCTGACTGGCACCGTGGCCCGGATGTTCCCGCCCAGCTGCCTGTTCGATACCGTCTTCGCTCGCAAGTAGTCGGTCGGCCCGCTCACGTGATATACCCAACACATAGTCAGCACATCAGTCATGCACACGTAGTCAGTCTAACACGTAGTCAGTCTAACACGTAGTCAGCCACCTCATTACACGTAGTCAGCCACCTCATTACACGTAGTCAGCCACCTCAATACACGTAGTCAGCAACTTTAGTCAAACACTCGTAGGTAGTCAGTCAGCACATGTAGTCAGTCAACCAGCACACTTAGTCTATCAAAGACTTAGTCAATCCTCGCACGTAGTCAGTCAACCCATCACACGTAGTCAGTCAAACACATGTCAATCAGCACCCAACACTTATAGCAGCTAGTAATAAACTCACGTCATCAACCACTCACCACATATCACAAACACATCATGATAACAACAACAAGCTATTTACAAACGTTTGGATGAGAAACACATTTTCATAGTACAAACATATTGATAAAAAAAAACAATGATGACCGTCGCATTTTGATAGCTAGTACATGCTGAAAAAAGGTCCACACATATAGACACCTCACACAACATGACTCAACGCATCCATTAAGAAATACCCACGGCAATCATATTAGTCTGGCATGTTACAAGTCTATCAAAGCATTGGGAATTTGTGTGAGATAGTGGGAAAAAAGGCCGCAGTCAGTTGTTCATAGTCCTATCTTTACAGGCTTCTTAAAATGTGGTAAGTTTAGACCAAAATATTGTTTTGTAGTGACAAACTGATATTGTTGTGTGGGGTCATCCATAATTGACGTCACGCTTTTTTTGACGATTTTTACCCCCCCCCCCTCCGTCACCCGTCGTCACAAAAAGCCAGACCCCCCCCCCTAAACTGACGTCACACTTCAAACTACAACCCCCTCAAAATTTCAGTTGAATTTTTTTTTAAACATCGATATTTTTCTAAAATCTTGTCTGAACTCTGTCAAAATAGAGTATTTTAATCAATTCCTATTACAATTTATTAAAACAGTTTTCTAAAACGCGAATATATAACGTCTAAAATTCGTTTTCTAACATTGCTTTTTAAAAATGCAAAAGTGTGACGTAGCACCACCTGAACCCCCCCCCCCCTCCCCCTCATCACAAACAGTCACAAAATTACGGACCCCCCCCTCCCCCCTACGAGTGTGACGTCATTTATGGACGACCCCTGTAGTGACTAACTGACATTTGTAGTGTCAAACTGACATTGTTATTTATTGTGCAAATATTTTATCAAATACATGGGTGTTTGTTTTTCTTTTGGTACCCTATCTGACAAAGATAAGTTATCGTTTGTGGTAAAATGTTGGATTTGTTTGTTGAACAGAGGTTACCATCACACCCACCACCATCATTACCAATTACACAAACATCATCAAATATCCAGCGACGGCTTGTTAACACTACCAGCGTGTATATCTAACATTGTGATGATGTGGTTGTAGTATAATCAGTGGCGTAGCGAGGTCGGGTGTCACTGGTGCGGCACTTAATGGTGTCACCCCCCCCCCCCCCCAGAGGCGTACCCCCCCTCGAACTTTCGATTTGCACCCCCCCCCTCGAACTTTCGATTTGCACCCCCCTCAAGTTTTTCTCTAAGTATTTTGCTATTTTTTGCCTTGGTGTCACCCCCCCTAAATGGTGTCACCCGGTGCGGTCCGCACCCGCCCCCCCCCCCGCTACGCCTCTGAGTATAATTCTGCGATTTAAATTTAATTCCACTTTTGATCATCTCTGTGGTTTGTCTTGCTGTCAGGTGAGCTTTGAGGCATGGGCTATTTGGTGATGCAAATATAAACACATTTTAGACCCAATTTCCTAATATTTTATTCAATTAAAGAGATAAATACAGCATTCCGTTTGATTTGGTCTAAATTAAAAAAAAAAAACAACCCAACATCCATTACAAAAAGAGATCTAGATCTACGTGTAATCAACATGACGAATCAAATAATTCTGTTTTTTTAAATCCCAGGAAAATTTGCTTCTAATTTTTGAATACAACCTAGTGACATCAAACTTCCGGTTAGAAACTAACTTTTGTAGTGTTTTCAGTTCGAATAATTTTTTACTAGATCTATTTGGTACGATAAATAAAGGAAAAATTATACAATAGGGCAGATCAACGTCAGTGGTTGAAATCTTAGCTTCTTCAACCAACAGTGGTTCAAACTGATTCCAAGTGAGCCTCAGTCGAATGTTTCATTTATAGTTCTTGTAGCATTAGATTAGCAACCATTTTAAATGTATTTTTTAAATCTAGATTATAATTCTATATCTATATAAAAATAATGTTGCAAAGGCATATAAACCATTGCTTGTTTTTTCATAATTTAAAGAGATAGACCTAGATCTACTTATAATATGATCTGGTGGTAAAGATATATCATTTATTTGAAGTAATTTTTCTTCCTATGGAGACTGGGAGTCACCCACCCACCCACTCCAGTGGATACCCACGCATATCGCTCACATATACACCACACCTCTTATCATTCACAGTTTGACACCCACCCACCACCATGAAATGACACCCACCCACCACCATAAAATGACATCCCCACCGCCAACATCCACCCACCCACCCACCACGCCCGGATGAACAGACCTCAGTCCTTGAGACACATGTATTCCAGCAAGCCTTAGCACCACCTCTCTACTAATCCCCAGCAAGCCTTAGCACCACCTCTCTACTAATCCCCAGCAAGCCTTAGCACCACCTCTCTACTAATCCCCAGCAAGCCTTAGCACCACCTCTCTACTAATCCCCAGCAAGCCTTAGCACCACCTCTCTACTAATCCCCAGCAAGCCTTAGCACCTTCCTCTCTACTAATCCCCAGCAAGCCTTAGCACCACCTCTCTACTAATCCCCAGCAAGCCTTAGCACCACCTCTCTACTAATCCCCAGCAAGCCTTAGCACTACCTCTCTACTAATCCCCAGCCCGGCAGCCTTAGCACCACCTCTCTACTAATCCCCAGCAAGCCTTAGCACCACCTCTCTACTAATCCCCAGCAAGCCTTAGCACCACCTCTCTACTAATCCCCAGCAAGCCTTAGCACCACCTCTCTACTAATCCCCAGCAAGCCTTAGCACCACCTCTCTACTAATCCCCAGCAAGCCTTAGCACCACCTCTCTGCTAATCCCCAGCAAGCCTTAGCACCACCTCTCTGCTAATCCCCAGCAAGCCTTAGCACCACCTCTCTGCTAATCCCCAGCAAGCCTTAGTACCACCAATCTACTAATCCCCAGCAAGCCTTAGCACCACCTCTCTGCTAATCCCCAGCAAGCCTTAGCACCACCTCTCTACTAATCCCCAGCAACCCTTAGCACCACCTCTCTGCTAATCCCCAGCAAGCCTTAGCACCACCTCTCTGCTAATCCCCAGCAAGCCTTAGCACCACCTCTCTGCTAATCCCCAGCAAGCATTAGTACCACCAATCTACTAATCCCCAGCAAGCCTTAGCACCACCTCTCTACTAATCCCCAGCAAGCCTTAGCACCACCTCTCTGCTAATCCCCAGCAAGCCTTAGCACCACCAATCTACTAATCCCCAGCAAGCCTTAGCACCACCTCTCTACTAATCCCCAGCAAGCCTTAGCACCACCTCTCTACTAATCCCCAGCAACCCTTAGCACCACCTCACTACTAATCCCCAGCAAACCTTAGCACCACCTCTCTACTAATCCCCAGCCCGGCAGCCTTAGCACCACCTCTCTACTAATCCCCAGCAAGCCTTAGCACCACCTCTCTACTAATCCCCAGCCCGGCAGCCTTAGCACCACCTCTCTACTAATCCCCAGCAAGCCTTTGAACCACCTCTCTACTAATCCCCAGCAAGCCTTAGAACCACCTCTCTACTAATCCCCAGCAAGCCTTAGCACCACCTCTCTACTAATCCCCAGCCCGGCACGCCCATCAGATCACTGAACCCCCCCTGCCCCACGTGACCAGCCGCCATGATGCACCTCACCATTGAAATGATTCCACTGTTCATGGCTATGGTAATCGTCGTGCCGCTGACGTCAGAGGTCGTGAGATCAGTGCTGGAGGAAAAACTGGACTTTGACCACTTGATCGACCGAAATCTGCTCAGGTAAATCGAAGCTTAACCATTTCAAATATGTTTCATATTTTCTAGCTATAACTTTAACCGTCTTACGAGCCGTAAATTTAGTTTTGAACCTTTATACACAAAAAATACTTTGACATAATGCTATCAAGACGTCAAGTAAAATGCAAACATTAACCTTGTTCACTTTTCTATGAAGCAGTGTTTCTTCCAGACTTTTTTCTCCAGGGGGGGGGCACTTGAAATTTTCGGAGGGGGGGGGGGGCGGTAGACTTTCTTCGGGGGGGGGGGGGGGTGTGGGCCGACACTGATAAAAGTATATATTTTCTATATAAATTTCATTTCGTTCGGGGGGGGGGGGTTGCGTAGACTTTTTTCGGGGGAGAGATGCCTGGAAGAAACTCTGCTGTGAAGACATCAAGTAAAATGTAAACATTAATTTTGTACACTTGTCCATGAAGACGTCAAGTAAAATGTAAACATGAACCTTGTTCACTTTTCCCCAGGGTGGTGGAGATTTTGATCGCGTTCATGGTGTTCCCCACAGCGCTGGTCTACATCATCTGCATGGGCGCCTACCTGCTGTGTGTGGAGATGTCCCTGGTCTCCATAGCTCTGGTCAACTACATCAAGGGGCCGCGCATCATCGAGAACTTCTTCTACTACGTCTCAGTCGTCTCCGTGTTCCTGGGCTGCCTGCTCATGGTCGAGCTCCTCTTGAAGTTTATCTACGCGGCCTTGTAGCAAGGAGACATTGATTTCCTGGTCTCGTGAACAGTTGATTTGTTGATCAAATAGTTGTCGAACACGGACATAGGTCAGCCGTGCATGAATGTTTACCTGTGTTCTTTTTTTCCCACTCATTCCATCGCTATTGTAACACCAGAGTGCCAGAGCCTAAAGCAACACATATCATTGTTAAGGTATATCTGTCATCCATATTTCATAGATGTAAAAAAAAAATTCAATAAAAGAAACATCAAGTGATTAAACGACTTGGCTGATTTTCAAAAGAAAAAATTAGTCTTATGAAACCGTAACATCTGTTTGTGTCGTCATTCTTAATTAAAGACACCTTGATATGTTTATTCTTTAAATTCATGCATTTAAATATCACCCGACTGGGTCTTTGTGCCCCCACTCCACCATTTGCCCCGCCAGTTCAAGTTTCAAGATACATTTTTTCTTTAATTTTACTACAGACACGAATTAAGATAATGCCCGCTCCATTTATGCATACACACAATGACATAAACACTTAGATCTAGTGATTTCTTTCGTGCCCTTCTTTCCCTGCTGATCTAACCAAAAGTTGACTTGAGACAGTTTGGTTTGTCATGGTCGTTTAAAAATGTTTACGTATAGAAAACACACACACAAAGAAGTGCTTATTCTCAAGATGAAAAAAATCCTTTGACAAAGTCACATATTAAAATGTAGCACAGCTAAGAAATTGGAATTTAAAAAACCCTCTCAAAACGTAACCTCTCCCACCCCTACGGTGTTTATTTCAGACCTCTCCAGTGGTGGGGGGGGGGCTGTCTTCACTCAGAGCACGTCGACCGACATCCCCTCCCCCCCCCCCCCCTCACACCCCTCACCTCAGGACGATAAAGACAAGAATTGATCATATAGAAACTATTTACTCGAACCATTATGTCCGCCCCCACCCTGAAGTTTCAAGTCCCCCAACTCTCAGGTAAAAATGTCTGAAAGAAACCCTGACCACCAAGGTTACACAAAGTCAAGAAAATAAATTTAAGGAACAAAAATAAAATCGGCATAGTTAGACCCACTCCCAGCATTGAATGTTTATGTACGATGGCCTTGAAGTTTACTTTTTAAGTTTTTCCCCGCCAAATTTAAACGTAGTCGTCCTTCATCTCGCGAGACCATGACGTAAGCACACTTCCGTTTTAGCACAAAAACAACCATCCTTTTTCTTTTGGTTTAGTCGGAGTTAGGCTTTAGATGGTGTGGGTAGAGTCAAGAGTAGTCAAGACTGACGCAGCCATTCTGGGCTTCAAGTCACTAAACCACACAAATCTCTGCCGTCCCCGCGTTATATTTCAGAAAGGGATCCTTCAAGTATGTACATAGATCTACGCTGTTTGTAAACAATTTAAAAGTTTTAAAACTTTTTATCTTTGATTCTGTGATGGTCAGTTTTATTTAATGGAGCCAAACGAGAGTAACCTCTAAATTATTCGAAAGATCTATTCAATATTTTTATAATCATGTAGATCTACGATGTTATTTAAGTAAATATGGTCATAAAAATCCGACTTTTTTGTTTTTGTCGGACTTGATGCTTTTAGTATTTTCGGTAACTGGACAATGTGTTTGTTTACATTTAGTCACATAAAAAGTAAATTAATATGACTTAACTAGTGGTTTAAAAAGTAGGACTATAATTTATTAAAAAATTATCGACAAAGTTTTGTGAACAAAACCAAAAAGATTGGGTTTACATATTATCGATCACGCAGTTTGTGTACTAACATTAAAAGAGTCTACAAATTAGATACAATATTTGTTCGATCTTTTGTTTTTCAGACTGCATTGATGCACACAGACCCCCGTCATCAAGTCTAGTTCCTGGTAATCGAGTCTAGTTCCGGTAATTGGTTCTAGTTCCCGGACATCCAGTCTAGTTCCCGGACATCAAGTCTAGTTCCCGGTCATCGAGTCTAGTTCCCGGACATAAAGTCTAGTTCACGGTCATTGAGTCTAGTTCCCGGTCATCAAGTCTAGTTCCCGGACATCAAGTCTAGTTCCCGGTCATCGACTCTAGTTCCCGGACATCAAGTCTAGTTCCTGGTCATCAAGTCTAGTTCCTCCTAGAAGTTTTCAACCATCGTCTAGTTCACGGTCATCAAGTCTAGTCCTCCTAGAAGTTTTCAACCATCGTCTAGTTCCCGACCATCAAGTCTAGTTCCCGACCATCAAGTCTAGTTCCCGGTCATCAAGTCTAGTTCCTGGGCATCAAGTCTAGTTCCTCCTAGAAGTTTTCGACCATCGTCTAGTTCCCGACCATCAAGTCTAGTTCCCGGACATCAAGTCTAGTTCCCGGCCATCAAGTCTAGTTCCCGGCCATCAAGTCTAGTTCCTGCTAGAAGTTTTCGACCATCGTCTAGTTCCCGACCATCAAGTCTAGTTCCCGGACATCAAGTCTAGTTCCCGGCCATCAAGTCTAGTTCCCGGCCATCAAGTCTAGTTCCTGCTAGAAGTTTTCGACCATCGTCTAGTTCCCGACCATCAAGTCTAGTTCCCGGACATCAAGTCTAGTTCCCGGCCATCAAGTCTAGTTCCCGGCCATCAAGTCTAGTTCCTGCTAGAAGTTTTCGACCATCGTCTAGTTCCCGACCATCAAGTCTAGTTCCCGGCCATCAAGTCTAGTTCCTGCTAGAAATTTTCGACCATCGTCTAGTTCCACGTCATCGAGTAGCCGTGAGTTCCAGCAAGCCGCCGCCATGTTTATAACGGTCGAGATGATCCCGGTCCTGCTGGGGATGGCCGTGGTCGTGCCCTTGACCTTTGACGTCATCCGGTCCATCCTGGAGGACAGGCTAGACTTTGACGTGATGATAAACTTGACCCTCCTCAGGTAGGTGCTGGTGGGGTCGAGGCTAGAGAGGTCAAAGGTCACGAGTTGACCTTATCAATCCAGGGTTGGTAAACAATCCAAGGATAACGTTCTTCTGTCCCTAATTAATATCTTTACTGAATCATTTCTTTGAACTGCCACACACTGTTTTAATTTTGGAATGATAGTAGGACTAACGATCGTTATTTTCTTCACATTGTTTGGTTGGTGGGAGTAGGTACGAATAATCACTGCTAATGTGTGATGCTACTTTAAAAGTCATGTAGGTCTGGGTGTTTCCCTATTGAACCCAAGACATCCCTATTCATTGGTGGGTGTGTCTGTGGCATCTATGTCAATGGGCGTGTATGGGCATGTATGTCAATGGGCGTGTCTGTGGCATGTATGTCAATGGTCGTGTCTGTGGTATGTAGGCCAATGGGCGTGTCTGGGCATGTATGTCAATGGGCGTGTCTGTGGCATGTATGTCAATGGGCGTGTCTGTAATCTGCAGTTCAATGGGTGTGTCAGAGGCATGTAGTTCAATGGCTGTCAAAACTGACGCCCCCCCCCCCCCCCCCCCCTCCCTTTAACTATTCCCAGAATCATTGAAGCTGTTATTGCAATCTGGCTCTTCCCGTCGGCTTTGATCTACACCATCACAGTCACCGCCTATGGATTATCGCTCGAGATCTTCTCGGCATCCAAGCGACTGGTGGATTATCTCAGGGCGCCGCGGATTATCGAGGCCCTGTATTACTACATCACGATCCTTGTAACCTTCCTGGGCATTCACATAGCGGTAATTAATTGCCTAAAGTTCATTTACAACTCGTTCTGAGATGAGGAATATTTGCTCTCTGTTAACATGTCATTCACTACACTGTATAGTAGGTTCTAACTAGGTTAAGGTATAAATCATTTAGAGCTATAAATTAGATAGAATTTTAATTTTCTAAATTTTAATGAGGAGTCTTGTGGAGTAGAGACTATTTTGTTACCTATAATGTATTTACTGGCAGTTTTGTTTTGAAATTATTTTTTCTATAGACATCATTTTAAAAATAACTATATAATGTATAATCCGAGCTAAATGTTTTAAAGGATATAATTATATATATATATATATATATATATATATATATATATATATATATATATATATATATATATATATATATATATATATATATATATATATATATAATAAATTCGGGGATATTCAGTTTTAAACATGGTGAAACATAAAGATATGGGATATACTATTGGCCTTTATATTGTGACGTTGAGAGTTTTGATACAACTGAGGGCACAATATGTCAGTAGCCTGATGTGCCAGTCAGGTGAACAAGCCCAGCTAGGTAACTGGTCATTTGGAAATTTGTTGTAAGTATTGCATATAGAACGGGCTGGTGGTGGTGGCTGTTAAGAGGGTTTAGTTTTTAATAACTCAGGCAAAAAAAATAATTAAAAAATAAACGAATAAGGAAAGATTATTTGTGTGTTAGTTCTCATTAAGGTGTTGGTATGATTTTGATGTCGTGTTGATGTGATGGTGAAGTTTAGTTGCTATACTGTTAATCTCGCTTTCAAGCGAAATGTTCATCCTCACATTACTACTCACACTGGCATTGAAGAGATGTTCATGCTCACATTACTACTCACACTGGCATTGAAGAGATGTTCATGCTCACATTACTACTCACACTGGCAATGAAGAGATGTTCATGCTCAAATTACTACTCACACTGGCAATGAAGCCAGATGTTCATGCTCACATTACTACTCACTCTGGCATTGAAGCGACATGTTCATGCTCACATTACTACTCACACTGGCATTGAAGAGATGTTCATGCTCACATTACTACTCACACTGACAATGAAGAGATGTTCATGCTCAAATTACTACTCACACTGGCAATGAAGCCAGATGTTCATGCTCACATTACTACTCACTCTGGCATTGAAGCGACATGTTCATCCTCACATTACTACTCACACTGGCATTGAAGAGATGTTCATGCTCACATTACTACTCACACTGGCATTTAAGCGAGATGTTCATGCTCACATTACTACTCACACTGGCATTGAAGCGAGATGTTCATGCTCACATTACTACTCACACTGGCATTGAAGAGATGTTCATGCTCACATTACTACTCACACTGGCATTGAAGCGAGATGTTCATGCTCACATTACTACTCACACTGGCATTGAAGAGATGTTCATGCTCACATTACTATTCACACTGGCTCACGCTAACTGTCGGCGTCTTGTCAAGCTGGGAGAGTAGGTCAACCACATCTCTGGTCCTCATGTGATACCAAATACAGCTTTATGCCACATCATGTACCTCACCACACCCACACAAATACAGCTGTATGCCACCTCATGTACCTCACCACACCCACACAAATACAGCTGTATGCCACAAATACCTCACCACACCCACACAAATACAGCTGTATGCCACAAATACCTCACCACACCCACACAAATACAGCTGTCTGCCACCTCATGTTCCTCACCACACCCACACAAATACAGCTGTCTGCCACCTCATGTTCCTCACCACACCCACACAAATACAGCTGTCTGCCACCTCATGTTCCTCACCACACCCACACAAATACAGCTGTCTGCCACCTCATGTTCCTCACCACACCCACACAAATACAGCTGTCTGCCACCTCATGTTCCTCACCACACCCACACAAATACAGCTGTCTGCCACCTCATGTTCCTCACCACACCCACACAAATACAGCTGTCTGCCACCTCATGTTCCTCACCACACCCACACAAATACAGCTGTATGCCACAAATACCTCACCACACCCACACAAATACAGCTTTATGTCACATGTACACACCACCTCCAAATATAGCTGTATGCAACAAATACCTCACCACACCCTAGCATAAGACTGATGTTTACACTCTAAAATTGACGTCAAATATTAATCACCTAATATAAGTAGGCCTATTTATTTTTTAGACGTGAACTAGAGATCATGAAATTATGTCATTGTTCTAAGAATGGACTGTGGTCACTGGTGGTGACGTGAACAAACTCGTGTCCTTCAGGACTGAACAGCGTCAGGACCATTCTCCTGAAATGTGGCTCCACTTGTGTGTTCTAGCACTGCACCACATAAAACTTGAACCACCCACACTCCACCACATAAAACTTGAACCACCCACACTCCACCACATAAAACTTGAACCACCCACACTCCACCACATAAAACTTCAACCACCCACACTCCACCACATAAAACTTCAACCACCCACACTCCACCACATAAAACTTCAACCACCCACACTCCACCACATAAAACTTCAACCACCCACACTCCACCACATAAAACTTCAACCACCCACACTCCACTACATAAAACTTGAACCACCCACACCCCACCATACAAAACTTGAATCCACCACACTGAGCTACATAAAATTTGAATCACAAATTTTGTAAATAAAATAAAACTTTACGTGTTAGACGACCGAAACAACAACGAAAACAAAGGAAAATCACAGATATTTTGTTTTTCAATCTTTAATAATTTATCATCAATTTTCAATACTATAACATAAAAACACAATATAAAAACAAAAGGGGAAAAATTATAAATTACAGTAGCCATTTAATTAGAGGCGATGTGTTAATTGCACTACACCGACATGTTGAGCGCTTTAAGATTTAATTAATTAAAAAAAAATCACACAGATGACTTCATCAATGTTGTGATGAGAGGCCCGCCGTATGTTGTAAACAAATGTGATATGTGTCACTTCTAATATGTGAGACTATGTTTTACAATCATACTACTTTAGATAAAGATGACTTAAGTTGAACTGACCACTGTGTACATGAGATTCGAATATCAAAAGTACCTGTGAGGTGAATCAATGGGGACCATTACATTTCAAATTTCAAAACACAAAGCATTTAACATGAAGTTTCTAACAACTATTTGATAAACAGATACACTGAGGTTGGTGGAGTCAGAGATTTCTTGAGTTCAGAAAATTAAAAATATAAGAAAAATCACGATTGATGTTAATAAATTAAAAAAAATGGTGTAACAATGTTCAAGGCGGATGAGAGAACTAGACAGTAACAAAACCTATCCACTAACATACGTCATCTTGACCGGAAGTCCCGCCTGGATACGTTAGCGAGCAGTATGGAGGTAAGAGGTATCACAAGAAAGACGAACCCTACCCGCATTCATCTCTAGCCCGTCTATTGAGATTAAGTTCCAAAAACTATAGTCAGCTTACTGATGAATTTTAAATATTTTATATATTTAAAAAAAAAAAGAAAAGTATGAAATTTTATTAATGTAAATAGAATTTTCTGTAATATGGTATAAATTCTCGAATTCCAAAATATTATGTGCAAGATGTTTTATAATTTTTTTCGATAACAATAAAAAATAACAAAAACGTAGTTTCTTGTAGGCCTATTTGTTTTAAATACAAAAAGGACTCCGACACGACGGCTGACTGTCCCCTACTGATATGTGTACATGTACAGTGTATACACAATATAACAACAGGAGTGTACAAATCGTTATTTTCCTTAATTCAGACAATATTTTGTTCCAAATTTTGAGAGAATATTTATGAATTTTGTCAATATGAAAAACAAAATCTAATTTTAGTGAAACAACAGCTGCTTTATCTCGAAATGAGTAAAATGTTGATAATGTAATTTTTGTTTAATTTACAGCTCCGTTTTTGGGAATCGCTAATTTCATGAGTGAATAAACGCTAAGGGGAGACAAGTGGGCGGAATAATTATTGCAACAAAGTCTCTCAGTTATCTTTCCTTCCAAACACATCCGACAAACATCTGTATCAAACCGTTCTCAAAATATTTTTGTCAACAAATCATGAGTTAAATGGCATAAAAACAAATAATTTAAATTAAAAAAAAAACAATAGACAAGCCAACAAAATTTAAAATGATTTCAAATGGACTTAAATAAAATAAAGCACTTGATGAACCAATTTATAACATGAGCATTTACATGAGATACATGTATGATCACATCTGACGTCATGTCTTACACTGACGTCATAGCGAGTGTTGCAGAAAGGTCATATTCTTTATCTCAATAACGTCACAAGTATGTAGTGACGTCACGAGATTGTATGTAATCATATCAAAGTTATATTTCCTTAGTCAAACATTGTAATTGAGGATAATAATACAGCTTATTTGAATTTTGTTTACATATTTATCGATTACTCTTCTCTTTTCAGAACCCATAACTATGGCGGAGAGAGATAATCGATAAAAACATGAATATCCCCCTAAGAAACATAACATTGAATTTTTAAAAATCATTTAGTTTGACTGTACTGTAGGTTTTTATGTACATATTTACAGGACATGTCACGGGAGAAAAAAAAGTGGATAGGGGGTGGGGTGGTTAGTCTTGTAAAAAATTATAAAATTATTTCTTGTATAAACATTCCACATGAACACTTTTTTGAATCCTCGGTTGTTTGTGTCGTGCCCGAACGTTTTCAGTGCAGGTCCATGTTTGTCCAATGATTGTAGGTCCAGACTTGTCCAAAGATTGTAGGTTCATGATTTCCCACTGTAGACTCATGCTTGTAGGCCCATCCTTGTAGGTCCAATGATTGTAAATATACGGCCATTCTTTCCATTGTAGACATTTGCTTGTCCCATGATTGTAGGCCCATCCAGGGTTATCCAGTGTAGGCCCAGTCCAATGATATTTTAGGTATCTGCTCTTCTAATCGCACCTGCCCAGCGAGATGTTTTTCAACAAGCCCACGCCCAGCTTGCTGTGTATAACATGGCCAACAGTTAATCCACTCCATCATCCGGGACATTTGGAATACACGCATGCGCAGACTTGAAACGAATCGGTACCACCAGTCATGACCTGTCCCTTCCCAAGAAATCATAAGGAAAGTGGACTCGAGTGTTAGTTAGCACTTCAGTTGACTAACTTCTTCCCTGCAGTATTGTCATCTTTGTATGTTGTTATTATTATTATGTCGTGTTGTGTCATCTCATGTCATCTATGCAAGCACCAGAGTAATTGTCCAGGGTAATGCCCAATGACACCCAGGTCATTGACCCATGCCCTCAAGTGATTTATTTCCAGCATATGTTTCCTTCTTTAAAAAAATCACATTAACAACATTTCGACACAAAAATTAAATAACAGATCAGTAACAATCTGAAGTTTTGAGGAATAAACTTAAACGAGTTGAGAGCGTTAGTATAATTTATAACATTCAATATAAGATTTTTATAACCAAATCACAAATTATGACTTTGCAAATACCCTTGTTACTAATTAAAATACTACACATTAAAATACTACACATTTCTTTTGTAAGATTCGTCCATTGGATTTCAAACAAATAAACAGAAAGTTGTTTATTTGCCAAAAAACAATAGACGGTTGACTAGACGAAAGGGAGATAATTGTGTAAAAATTATGCGTTCAGAATATTGATTTTTAAAAAAAAAACAACAGGTAAGTGAAGTCCTGTTTGTTAATATCCGCTGTACAACAAGATCAAGTTTATTAACCGGTTAACTGAAAACAGGCGCAGAGTACACATCCAAGGGAAGTAATTTACCGCCAGGGTACAGAAATTATTCATGAGTTGTATCCCTTACACCGTCACAAGAACGCTTGCTAGCAGTTCACATTGCAAAACCCCCATCTTGCAATGGTCACTACTAAGCATCCCAGCACACACGAATGGCAGCAAATTGTTCTAGGTGTGTCACCATTTTTTAGCGTGTCACCATTTGTTCTGGACGTGTCACCATTTGTTCTGGACGTGTCACCATTTGTTATGGACGTGTCACCATTTGTTATGGACGTGTCACCATTTGCTCTGGACGTGTCACCATTTGCTCTGGACGTGTCACCATTTGCTCTGGACGTGTCACCATTTGTTATGGACGTGTCACCATTTGTTCTGGACGTGTCACCATTTGTTCTGGACGTGTCACCATTTGTTCTGGACGTGTCACCATTTGTTCTGGACGTGGGACGTGTCACCATTTGCTCTGGACGTGTCACCATTTGTTCTGGACGTGTCACCATTTGTTCTGGACGTGTCACCATTTGTTCTGGACGTGTCACCATTTGTTCTGGACGTGTCACCATTTACTGTGGTCGTACAAGGCTTTCTTCTCGTCACGTTCTGCTGTGTCACGTATGGTGTGGCATGCTCCACATACGCTGTGGTTTGTTTACCAACATCCATTTAGCCTCCACTCCGACATAAGCGACAGGGTGTGATCCCCCACACAATCTGTCACCACACCGGTTGTGTATGAATGTGGCACCACGAACCACACAGTTCCAGAATTTGATTTCAGAAGAAGAGAGGCTTGCTGTGATACAGTTGACTTGTTGGTGAGTGAACGGTTTCAGTTGTTGATGAATGGGTATCCTTCCATAAAGGCTGGTCACAGTGACAAGAATGATAACAGAAAATACTGGTCACTTGCTGGATCTTACCGACGGTACTGCTAAAGCTGGACACAGTTGTTGAAACTGGGCACTCTTACACAAAAAAACAGACCTTTTTTTGTATAAACTTGACTTACTAAAACCTGTTTTTCGGAACCTAATATTACTAAAACAATATTTTGGTGCCAAAACTGGACTCTTTTGTCAAATCCTGACTCTATTGGTAGTTCTGATTGCCCCGAGACTAGTACACTTTGAGCGTCTCCTCCCTACTCGAGAAATGTGCCACATCTCGAAGACTCAGTTCACTAGGTATCACAAAATCGAAGACGGGAGAATCGTATATCGTTTGTTTTCTCTATTTGCAAGTAAAGTACGTGTTTATGTTCCCGCACTGACGTGTTTCTAGTGGACCCACCTGACCCCCCAGGAACGGCCAGAGCTGACCCCCAGGAGCGGCCAGAGTTGACCCCCCCTGGAGCTGACCGCAGATCAACACGAAGACGGACTGGAATCGCTCTCACTAGGACGGATCAAGCGGTCCGTGGACTTCTGGTGAATGCACACGTTGATGCGCATATTGTCTCTACGAGGCGACGCCTTCTTCATCAGCTTCACCGGGTGCGATGGGTTGGCGGCGGGGGGCGGCGAGTCGGGCGGGCTGAACCGGGGTCCGGCCGACGCCCCGTCTGTTATCACGGAGGAGAGATCGGTGTCGGAGCCGGGCGGGGGCGTGGGTGAGCTGCTGTTGTCGCTGTTGGTGAGGGGCACGTCGATGTCCTCCAGGACCAGGTAGTTCCGGTCCTCGGTCAGGAGCTCCTCCAGCATGAAGCGGAGCTGGGTGAAGTTGGGCCGCTCCAGGGGCTCGTCCTCCCAGCACGACCGCATGATGGCGTACCTGGGGAGTAGGCAGGGGGCCGGGGTCAAATGGTGGTATGTCAAGGTTAGGAGAAATTAAGGGGGCAGGGGTCAAATGATGGTATATCTTGAGCTTTAGCAAATTATAGAGTCAGTGGTTTAATGATGGTATGTCCAGCTTTGGCAAATTATAGGGTCACGGTTTTAATGATGGTATGTCAAGCTCAGGCCAATTATAGGGTCAGGGGTCTAATGATGGTATGTTTAACTAAAATACGGGGATGGGACGGAGTGGTCTAGCGGAGAGAGCTGGACTGCTAACCCCTAAGTCTCGAGTTCGAATCCTGGTTCAAGTCAGTAGACCGTCCTTGAGTCCACCCAACTCTGATGGGTAACTAACTCACGTTAGGGAAAGTAAAGGCGGCTGGGCATAGTGCTGACCACACTATCTCTTCATATGCCGAGGTCACAGAAACAAGTGAACTCTACTTCACTTGCCCCATAGACCGTCAGGTTTGAAAGGGAAACTTTACTTTACTAAAATACGGGGTCAGGGGTTACAATATGTCATATCTTAAGCTTAGGCAAATTATGGGGTCAGTGGTCACATGATGGCTAGTTTAAAGTTTAATCAAAATAAAAGGATAGGGGTTAAGGACTAGGCAAGTAAAGTATCAGATACTAAAGCCAGTCTAAGAATACAAAAGAAAATAATTATCAATGCTTTTATAATATTGAATCTGTTTTGTTGGCTTAATTTGTCGCAAAATATATGTATTATTGTACTGTATTTCAATCTATTTTGTAAATATTGATAGCCACCTGTTCTTTAAACTCAATTAACGTGTCGTTCATAAAGTCATTTTATACAAACAATATATAAAATTGTAGAAAAGCGTGTTTCTAAAATCTCCCATTACAGCCCCCACTCCGTTACACTTGCATACCAGGTCAGGCAAGGGCTAGCACGTGCCCTTTACCAACCAATCAAAGCGCTACTTACAGCTCATCCGAACAGTTGGAGGGCTTGTCCATTCTGTAGCCCGTGGAGAGGACGTAGTAAAGGTCAGCCAGTGCCACGTTAGGGTAGGGTGAGGCGCCTGTGGGGGGGGGGGGGGGGGGATAGAGCATTGGTTACATCAACACACTGTACCATCAACACACTGTACAATAGAACATTGGTTATATCAACACACTGTACCATCAACTGTACAATATAACCTCACACACACAAACAGACCAAACAGACGTACCCACAGTAACGACCCATAGTCACAGACACAGACACACACACAGACACACACACACACACAACGAACCCCCCCCCCCACCCACACACACAGCAGACTGCACCCACACGTACCCATGGTAACGACCCCCACACACACACACACACAATAGACTGCCCCCACACGTACTCATGGTAACGAACCCTCCCCCCACCCCCACACACACAACAGACTACACCCACACGTACCCATGGTAACGACACACACACACAACAGACTACACCCACACGTACCCATGGTAACGACACACACACACAACAGACTACACCCACACGTACCCATGGTAACGATCTCCCACAACAAGATCCCGAACGACCAGACATCCGATTGCGTGGTGAAGATTCGATCCCGCAGCGACTCAATGGCCATCCACTTGAGGGGCAGCTTGCCGTTGGTCAGCTTCTTGTAGTGGTTGTCGTTGAAGATGTCCCTGGACAGGCCGAAGTCGCAGACCTTGACCACCTTGTTGTAGTCCAGCAGCACATTTCTGGCCGCGAGGTCGCGGTGGACGTATTTCTTCTCGGTCAGGTACTCCTGGAAGAACAGAACGGGGAATCTCTGGTTCAAGTTTAATCAGTGGAGAGAAAATTAAACGGGTCAGGGTTGAAAGTAAGCGGACGTCTAGGGGGAGGCAGTTTTTAATGCATAGACATAGGGTCTGAGTGTGTGTGTGTGTGAGTGTGTGTGTGTGTGTATGTGTGTGTGTGTGTGTGTGTGTGGAGGGGGGTGGGTGGGGTTAGGACAACAATTCCGGTGGTATACTTCAAGACCGTAACTCCGCCATGTACACCATAGGGAAACTGGAATAAGATAAGAATCAGTAAGATCCAAAGCCTACAAAAAATATTACAAATCATGACGTTCCTTTTATTTCAAAGCAAGCGTTTATTAAAAAGAACACCAAAGTAAATGTTTCTGTCAACCCAATTATTGCCAACCACCCACAACAATCCGTCACAGCTGTTTTTCTATTAAGGTTTCCATTCATAATGCGGTTAAAAAAAAAAAAAAACAACAACAGAAAACTCGACACACAAAAATTAGAAGAAAAAAAACAGATAAAAAAAGAAATTTAATCTTTCGGTCTATGCACCCGCCGTTTTTGCGTCATTTCCTGAGCCAACAGTGCTAGGGATAAAATGCGATTTGTGTATCACACAAACCGCAGGGCTATCCCGCCAGCATCCCGCCAGTCTCCCGCCAGCATCCTGGTGGTTATCGCGTCCGAACCATCTTCACACCTGGGTATCTGGGGACGATCCGAAAACAGCCCTCGGAGGGGGAGCTGTCATTGCATGCAAAACAACCCCAGCGGATGTGACGTATTTTAAAATCCTCGTTTTATCTCAGTGGACTACAGAGCTTCTAAAATTAGCCGGCACTAAAAAAAATGTCTTTGTTTTTTTTTATGTAAAAGGTTTACCACCCCGCCCCCAACCCACTTCGCTAAGTCACGTGACAGAGATGTTACTGTAAACATTCTTAAACGTGGATATAAACACGTTATTTTTTTTTCAGTTTTTTTTTACACCTTACGTGAAATTGAAGCCGCTCCTCGTGTTCTAATTATCAAATCTTTTTGTTCTAAAAATAAAAAAAAAACCTCATCAATTTGGGAACAGATAAGATAAATTAATTGATTTGCTTTTTCGTAGCTTTTTAAAAAAAAAAAGAAAAAGAAAATTGACTACTTTTATTCGGTCTTTAAAAATATACTTTTAAAATAAATACATATTGATGTAGATGAATGCTTTGTGTTTCTAATAGTTCTCTGTGAAAACACTTGAATTTTGTAGCTCTCTAAAGATTTATTCAAATACTCACACAAACAGAAAGACTACTATTTTTGTTTGAAGTCACCGTCTACAATTGTATCAAACTTTCCACATGGTCTATGACTATCTTATTATAAACTGGCTTTTTCATCATTATTTGAATTCAGTTATATTTTCCACAATTTTTCTCATAGCAAATTTGAAGACCTTAAAAACTTTTCAGGAGCTTAATTTTTTATGCCACTGATACAAGATGTATTCGTTTGGTTCGTTATCAACTAGCATACTTTAGGCATGAAACATTTTTTATTTGACGTCACCTTTATAAAACGTATGAAATGAGATATTTTAACCTGTATACATCGGTACGTCATATGTGGCCAGATATAGATTTAATTGCCCAACTACAACTTCCGGTTGAAATGTTTACCGAAAAATGTATGAAAATAATCGCTTTGGCAGCTAACACGCCTTAGACGTGTACAGGGCACCAAAGTGCACGGATCAGGTGCACCTTGGTGCAGACGGCGTGTTGGAAGGTAGTTGTGTTACGTCAGTGTAAGGTCTGGGACCGCTGCCCGTGGGGTGGGGGTGATGAGCAGGTTCGCTACCTGTGCCAGGATGTCGAATAATATAGGTGAGAAATGACGTTAAGAGCCAGCTAATGAGATAAAAATATCGAGCTGCGTCACACTGATTCGATTAACCACAAATTTTTTTTTAAACACACAAATGTATATCAATGTATATAACCATTTATTAAATAGAATATTAAAGAATATATAGCAAGTGATTACACATCATCAACATCAAGGTAATTATTTCTGCAAGTAGCGCTACAGAACCACCACCTCTAACCTTAGCACTACTGGTAACTCTAACTTCTAATCCTAACTTGGTTCTCACGGGGGTGAGAAAAAACAAGTATTACTAAATTTAGTTGAGGGTAAAGCACTATCATTTCATGTTCATAAAATCTAATGTTACAAGTCAAGCTATTCGGCCTCTGATTCTGACCCCCCCCCCCCCACCCACACACACCCGTCTTTCTTTTTGCCCGACCCCAAGACAAATACAGATTTCATGCTACATTAAAGTTCGACATGCACCCCCACCCCCCCACCCACCCTCCAGACACCCATCACGTGACACCCGACCCGGCGCGTGAGAAACAATAAGCCCGTGTTGTTGTAGATGGGTCAGTGTGTTGACAGGCGGGGGCCAGGGTACCAGCCAACAGATGGGAGTTCCAGACCTACCTGCACCGGCTCCACGCAACCTTTCACCGGGCCGCGGGTGGCACCCGGAACTTTTATACTTCATTAGGCCGACTCTGGTTACACACAAACACACACACACACACACCCTTCCCCCACCACACACACACACACACCCTTCCCCCACCACACACACAACCACACACACACACACCCTTCCCACACACACACACACACACAAACCCTTCCCCCACCACACACACACTCAGTTACACTAAGCTCCAATACGTTTTTACAATTTCTATTTCTTGTACAAATATTTTTTAAACATATTTTGTGTTTCGCTGATTTTTTAAATCAATTCTTGAACGACCTTTACATTGTAGACTTTTATAAGTTTTCAATAGAAAACTTCGAATCCGTTAACTTTCACTAAAAACCTTAGCTGACGTTTAAAATGGTAACTTTTACTAAAATACACGAGTTTAATTCGACTGACGCTAAATTTAGTTAAAAACAAAAACAAAAAACTACAAAGGGGTAAAAATGACATTGATATATTTTTTTTCTAATGTATGGCGGAAATGTATGCCTAATTAGTTAGGATACATACATTTAAACAACCATGGTTAGCTACTGGGACATTTTATTTTGAAACTATATTTATTTTTCTTGAAGTTAAGAAAATCAATTTTTTGGAAAACGTATCAAATCATTGTTTCCTGATAAACCACATGTAACGACCTTTGAATAACATGTGAACCTCGTTTTGGTTAAGATTAAGTTTAACTTTTAAAACAAAATAATAAAAACTTAGAAAATTTTTCATAAATTCATTCAACCCACATGCATATATGAAGACATGTTTAGGCTTTATATAACACAATTCCCTAGTCTAAAATCATTCTAATATCGGTAGATTCGCATGTATGTATAGGTATACATATGAATCAGACATTTCGTAATAAAAACAATGACGCAAATAAATAGCGTCGGTGATTGTATGCTTCGAATTTTCGCGATTTAAATTTTTTTTAAAGTCTTTGACAAAGAGACATGGCGGCCATTTTTTTAGCGTGTCACCAATGTAAACAAAGAAACTAAATCTGCTTCCGGTTGCCTCATCGCATCTTTGATTAAGGACACATCAGCGTGGTCTATCAAATCTTATCAAAGTTTAATTAGCTGAAAACATTTGATGTTCGTTCTTTCAAAAGATTCTTTAACGTATTATTTGGAATGTTCATCTTTTTAGAAAATATTTTAGCTTACATTTTACTTTATGGCTTAATATAAAGCAGTTTTTTTTTCCATGCTTATAAAGTATGATTAATGATTTTGAAATGTTGGAGTTACGTAGCAGAGGAAAGTAATATAAGTTTAGAAAAATATTAAAACATTAAAAATATTTGAAAAGAAAATTCCAAATGCTGCTGAACTGAATACTGGGTTGATTTCGCACAAACATAAGCTGGATAGCATTTGATTTCAGGATAGCATTTAGCTTTATCCAGAGCAAACCCCACAGTCTCCTCCTCCCCCCCCCACCAGCGTGTAACAGAAATTTTTTTATATGGAAAATATAAACTACTTTGGTCGAGACTCCAGGATCTGTAGCCAGCCATCCCGCTATAATAGTTTCAGCTAATGTACCACGTGACCCGTGACTTGCCTGTTGTACACGGCGGCAATCAGCTGATAATCTCGTCATCTCAACGTCCTGACGTATGCGTTAATAGATTCTTCCAATGGATGTACAGTCTGTCTCCCCTGACCCGCCAATAGATTCTTCCAATGTATGTACAGACTGTCTTCCTCTGACGTATGCGCTAATAGATTCTTCCAATAGATGTTAGCCCGACGCCCCATGTATCGTGTTAACCCAACGCCCCGTGTATCGTGTTAGCCCAACACCCCATGTATCGTGTTAGTCCGACGCCCCATGTATCGTGTTAGCCCAAAGCCCCATGTATCGTGTTAGCCCGACGCCCCATGTATCGTGTTAGCCCGACGCCCCATGTATCGTGTTAGCCCGACGCCCCATGTATCGTGTTAGCCCGACGCCCCATGTATCGTGTTAGCCCGACACCCCATGTATCGTGTTAGCCCGACGCCCCATGTATCGTGTTAGCCCAACGCCCCATGTATCGTGTTAGCCCGACGCCCCATGTATCGTGTTAACCAAACGCCCCTTGTATCGTGTTAGCCCGACGCCCCATGTATTGTGTTAGCCCAACGCCCCATGTATCGTGTTAGCCCGACGCCCCATGTATCGTGTTAGCCCAACGCCCCATGTATCGTGTTAGTCCGACGCCCCATGTATCGTGTTGGCCCGACGCCCCATGTATCGTGTTGGCCCGACGCCCGATGTATCGTGTTAGCCCAACGCCCCATGTATCGTGTTAACCCTGCCTCCCATATAAAGTGTTAGCCCGAAGCCTTATACACCGCTTTAACTACATACAAGTATATCTTTTCCCACCCAACTTGCCCCCCCCCCCATACAACAAGTAGTCCTACATACCCACTAAATATTTGCGGT